GGGTGGGGGGTGAAACAAGTTAAAATTTTGAAATATTCATGCAGCTACCTCCTTGAGGATAATGTCTTCCACTTGCAGCTCTTTTGTGTTAATTGTCAGTGTTCTGAATGAGATCTTTTAATCTCAAAAAGATATTTTAATGGGGAGTTACAAGTCCACTATTACAAGAAATTGATTAAACCATTATACTGTGGTAGATCTTTAATCATTCGCAAGATAAGGGAACTTAACGTTCACTGTAACCAACACTTGATCATTACGGTCCAACATTTGATAAGGACACTTAAACTTAAATATCTTATGAAACAAAAGAGATGTTCTTCAAGAGTGTCTTATTACTGATTAAGAAAATAACTAAAAAGGACGGGAGATGCCTTACTTTGCATCAGTTTGATATTGCTAGTCTAAAGATTTGTTCTTTCTGCAAGCAAAGTTTCTCCGAAGGATTCTGTAATGTTTCTTCAAGTATCTCTCTAATCTAATGCTGCTCTTGGTCAATAGGTGGTTTTGGGAGGTGGTCAAGACGCTTCAGCTGTCACCACTACTGATCATCGTGCTGGAAAGTTTGAGGCCAAGTTCTATGACAAGGTAAGTGGATATATTTTGGTGTTAGGAATGATCTTCCCCCACCCTGAAAAAGGGAAAATATGGATCTGATTTGGTTTCATAACATTTCGGAGTGTGTAATTTGTATCTGGATATGCATCAGATTCTTACTGAAGAAATAGGAGGTGTTAAAGGGCATTTTGGACCAATAAATGCTTTGGCTTTCAACCCTGATGGGAAAAGGTAACTAATCATTCCACATTCCTGCCATCTCATATGCGGATGTCATGTACTTGTGCCATTATTGAAACTTGACTTTGTTTTCGTGTGGTCTCACGAGTTTTAGATTTTAATCCAATAACTTATTCTAAAAATTGTCTTCCCTTTTCTTTATAGGTTCCAAGAAATCTCAACTTTTCTTGTTTTCTCATCTCTTTTTTGTAGTACTACTACCACCTCCGTATGACAAAGATGAAGATGTTCTTTATTAACAATTACATTTTATAAGAATGATAGTGGTTCCTAATCCGTTTTTAGTCACATAAGTATAGTACTACTACTACTACCTCCATATGACAAAGATGAAGCTGTTCTTTATTAACAATTAAGTTTTATAAGAATCATAGTGGTTCCTAATCAGTTTTTATAGTCACATTGTTATCAACAATCAATGATAAAAGGTTCCTGTTTAAGAAAATGGTGGACTTATTTTAGGACAACTCAGATAGAAAATTAAGGCAACTATTTTTGGATGGGTAGTTTGTTGGAATTTTTTGAACATGCAATCTTACTGCCTGTTTGTGCTAGTGTGGTATGCCCTTGATGGTTCTCTTTACTTCCTCTCCAAGTTTTTGGACCAAGTAGTAAGTTTTGGATCCTTCCAACTTAAAGGTGAAAACAGGAAAAGAAACATCATCGTTGAGTTATTTGAAGATTTACATATTTAGTGTGTACTTGAGCAGATATTGTTTTTTACTTTGGTCTCAAATGTACATCGATATAGTAGTCTGTTGAGATCTTGGGCAAATGAAACAAAGAGAATAAAGGAAGTAATATCCTAACACTTACATTTCTATCTTAATCCTAGCTCTCTCTCTATATAAACCTTCTAGATCTAAATTAAGTTGGAATTCATATTTATTATGACCTTGGTTCCTATTTTTATATTAGGTTGAAATTGAGTTAGTTCAATTGTATTTGGGATCATCAACTTGAATGAGAGGGGGTTAGATTTGGATTTACGTTTGCTTCCTTTCTGACACATTTTGGTCCTTTTTAATTTGCCTATTGTTTGTTAGATTTATTTGGATTAACAAAAAGTCTGTTTTTTTGTCGGGAACTTTGTTAGACTTGCATGTCAGTGTATGGTAAATCTGAGGTTTAGATTACCTGTAAATTGTTTAACAAGACAAGCTATTTAGTGTTCTAGATATGGGCCCGAATAGAGCTGAATTCATATTGTTGACTCCAATAATTTGAGATTGAGGTGTAATTGAAGCCACAAACCTATCGAGAAGCTTACAGTAAGGGGAAATTTTGTATCTATTCTGGTGGGGGTCTGGAGATATGGTGTCTCCTGTTTTGTTGTTGTAGAAGTGCTTTTGTGGTAGGGGGTCGTATGAGGAAAACTCTTGTTTATAGTAATAGAAAAAAGATTATAGTAAAACCTTGATTTTTTTTTAACTCCAAGCGTAGCATAATAGAAAAAGGGGCATCAGATGTTTCTCATTGTGACCCTGAAATTTGTTACTCATTCCAGAGTTACTTGATGCATAAAGTAACCTGGAATTTGTTACTTTATGCTAGAAACAAATTCCATTATGAACAATTTGAGAGTTTTCGATTACAATGAATAACAAATTCCAGTAATGCTGATCATTTTCCAATTTGAATATGTTTAAAAAAACTGATTTGTTGGCCAAGTTAATTGGTTCTTCCATCTCGAGTGTTGTGTGAACTCCCTGCTTGATTTTTGCAGTTTCTCAAGTGGTGGTGAAGATGGATATGTGAGATTGCATCATTTTGACCAGGATTACTTCAACATCAAGATTTAGATTTTGATAGGACCAGGTTTTGTAAGTTTGTACTTTTGGGTATGATGGACATTGACGTTTCTCTGGAGGAAGCGTCTTTCCGGTTATCTCCAATGAATTTTTTGTATGCTTTTATTGTTGCAACCTATGTTCATCGCACAAGAGAAACTAACATTTTATTTCTGGACAAGTTGAGCAAAACATATTCACTTAGGTGCAATTTTTTCAAGTTTGCACTTGCTTTTACTCTACAGATCTATTTATGCAAAAAGCAAAATATATTTTACCTTTTGATGTTGTGGATTAGCTTGGAATTTCAGACTGTCGGGAGGAATGGGAAAATAACCACAACTCCTTGAAACTTGACCATTGTTTCATAGCTGAAGAAATTAATCGCACTAAGTAAAAAATGTAAATAATTTATCGGCAAATCAATCTTTAGTAACTAGAATTGTTTTCTTTTTACCATAAATTATCACTATGGTGAAATGGAATTAAATATTAGTCAACACTGGATTGGTTACCAATCAACATTTGAATAATCCAATGAAGAAGAGAAACTCGAACTAATACATTATCCCAGAGAGGTTCTTAGCTAAGAGCTAAGAGAATCCACCCACCCACTACACTATCCTAATCTCCATAAAGGAGGAACTACACTCAAATGATCTTCTTCACTACTCAATATTCAAAATCTAAGGAATGAAATACTGCCTTTACAAGCATAGTCCAAAATAACCATAAGGTGAGATGTAGTCACATACTCCTCTTCATTCCAACTTCTCTTTCCCTTCAAGTGATCATCCACATGTGGAGTCTCCAAAACCTTCTTTTGCATAAACTTGGTTTTGAGTGAGTTGTGCTCCCCAATATTGATTCATCTTCCCTTTCTAGAAAGGATTCATTCGTCCTCGAATTCAAACCTTACAAAAGACAAACAACAACAATGACCTCATAGTAAGGGTTAACAAACCTATCAACATGCCAAGTATCAAAATTATGTTAGAAAAGTATATTCTCAAACAAAGCAAGAGATACTTGACGACTCCAGAAGCTTTGAGAAAAAGGAACCAATGCATTTAGGACATTAAACATGCAAAGTTCTAATGGTCAAGAAGCATTTATCTCCCATTTAATTCGTATTGATTGAATTTAAGGTGATGGTTCTTATAAGTGTATCTCATAAAATATAAGTAACACGCAGACACAAATTGAATTACTGACAGTGCAAATTTCAAAAAACTGTATCACTAATACAATACGAATTTCAATTGCTAATTAGTCGCTTCATCAATTTTAATAGCATCAAGTACCCCAAGCTCTTGTTATAGGTTAAGAACTAGCACTTCATTTCATTAATTCTTCCCTTAGGATCAATTTTCCATCGGTAATTTTTCTACGTGTTGCATCAAATGCGGTCACACAGTACAATTTTTCGAGCCAAGGGTGTAAGCCGCCTCCTTTTCACATTGTGTTCAGGATCTGCTTCTGAGCCAGAACCATTACCAAAGAGCAACAAACTTTTACAGGATAGGTTAACATTTCCATGGATATCATATGGGTTCTCCTGACCGGAGGTGACAGGACCAGTACCACTGTTATCACGAGTCTCAATCGAGGATTGTGCCAAAGTGATGTCCAGCAGCTCGCCAGGAGTAGCATCTCCATCAACCGAACAGTCAATACTTGACTTTGGAACTTCTAATTGTTTGTCCGTGTCACGGACTGAAGTAGTTGGCGATGAGTCCAATTCCTCGTCCACATCTTGGACAACTGACACATCTGGGATCCAGGAAGTTCCCGCAGCAAGAGACCCAGATGAATATGAAAAGGCACAGGGTTCAGATCCATTCCCACCCAGATGCAGAAGGTCTGTGTCAGTTGCTGTGTACGCAAGATGATCTCCAGCTTCCATCTCTTCCTGTTTATGGTCATCAACAACTCAGTGACTTCTAGCAGAGTTTAAACACAAGAAAACCTATTCAATTTACGACAATAAATGCATATAAACAGAATCAAAAGCCTTGGCAAAGTGAACTGGTACAACCAAAATCAGTTGATTCGAGATCCAACTAAGACAACTGGCTAACATCCATGCATGATTAAGAGTTTAAAACAAGCAGGAGAGGTCAACAAGAAGCAACGTAGATTACACCCTCCAAAAGTGGAATTAGTTACAGCATCATAAATCTGATTCTCTCTGACTAATATCTTTGCAAAACTTCTACACACTTGCTTCAAATATAAATCTCACCCAGCACTTGTTCAAAACTATCACCCCTGCCTCTCTTACCCTATTATTTTTAATTAAAAATAAAGTAAATAATTCCTAAACTACATTAATATTCTTCCTACTATGACACATAACGTAAGAAAAGTAGCCAGGTTGGACTGTTTAAAAAATGATTTGTTGTTTCCTCCCTACTCCCTCCCCTCCCTGAGTATACAAATACTCAATAAATGGATACAAGTGCCTCTAGAAAGCATTTTTACAAAACATTAGTACATAACAAGTGTCAAAACTTCCCAATTGGCCAAAAGGAAATTAAATCTAAATGGAGTGTCCAGCAAACTTTATGTTATCACATTAATTTTCAATATACTGCTCCTAGAAAACAGCACCCTTTTCTCCTTTGGAACCAAAAGGAAAGGGAAAAGTAAATGGAAATAGGATGATGATGATCTTCGTGATCTGAACTACAATATTACCATAAGTTCTTATCTTCATGTTTATGTGTACCAATTTGAGAACTATTGAACCTAGTTGCAGATACATACAACATACCTGTATTTCTTGAGAATAATAACAACATACCTGTATTGGCGGTAATGAACTCCTAAATTCATTAAAAGATGCTGCGTGACCAAAACCCATGTCAAGCAAAGGTTCTTCATCAGATTCAGACTCAAAAGAATCATTTAAACCAAAGCCTGAATCATTAGCACAAACACCCCTGAGAGAGGAAGTAGGAAATGGGTTTATCTCAATAGCTTGAGAACGCGGTAAATTGTCTGAACTCTTTGATGAACCAAGTTGATCAGATACTAATTCTAAAGCATTTTCATCATCATTGCTTGTCTTGAGACCACCTTCAGGATAGCAACTATAACTCACACAAGAGGGAGATTTTTCGACAGAGATTCTGGAGGAGATCACTGATCAGATCAGTCTTTGAATGGCACTTCGCTTTATATGGTTGAAACAAGTTTATGCTGAGCTGGATTCAAAATAAAGTAGAGAAACTTTCAGGTATAAAAATCATCAACTACCTAAAGTTTTCTCAAAGAAATAAGAGCCATAAATCACAAGCAAGAATCAGAAAAAGAGGAAAAATAAAGAATGCAAGAAAAAAACACACAAACATCATAGGAAGAGAACTGAGAAGAATGATGTCAGCAGAAGGGAAGAAAGGAAAACATACAGCAGCAAGACAAATTTCATGAGGATTTGAAGTAGAATTTTGCAGATCATCCCAACATGCAGACTCAAAGGTCATTGAAGCATCAAATGTCGTTCTTCTTCTCTTTACGTTTGTCATATAGTATACCAATCCGAGATCTTAGGATATGTACTTTCATAACCAGGAAGAATTCTATACTAAACAAGGTAACTCCTACTCTATGTCAGCTATGTGGAAGTAGCAGAGAGCTCTGTTTAGACAAGACCAAGTTCCTCAATTTGGAAAAGATAATTTTTTCTTCATTTTCACAGCAGGGAGAAGAACTCTATTCTTTATTCCCCTTTCTTACTTTGAAAGTAGTTCAATTGCCACAACACAAATACTTCACAATGGCTGAAATATATATATATATATATATATAGCCTGTCCATAATCCATCCCTAAAAGTTGCCTCATTTATCTCTTTTCTTTAGCTCTTCCTTCTCTATATCTTGGGAGAACGTGTGGTCATGGATGGTGAAACCAATACCGGACTACACCCCATGTTACTGTTGGCATTTCATATTATGGGAATTTGGAAGAATGGGTCGAAAAGAGTTTTTGGTTCAATACCCTATATGGGGCTTGAGGGGTTTTGTAGGGTTTAAGGGTTGGGTTAAAAAAAGGGTCTTTTGGGTTTCTGAAGATCGTTTTTAAGGATTGCTTTCTTCTTATTATTGAGGTCATTTCAATGAACAAACAAAGATCATTCAAGAATCAATTCACTTACCAGAAAAATAAAAGCTTTAACACCCTTACCTTACCTTTGCTCAAGCAAAATGAAGTTGCTGTTCATGTCCTTTCTTGAGAAAAAATTGGGGCTTTTGATTAGGGAAGATGAGGAAGAAGAAGAGTTCCGAACCTCAATATGAACTCATGGGCTCGGCTGGGTTCACGTTAGACATAGCTATTTTAGGGTGTTTTTGCCCAAATTTTAGGGTGTGGGTCTTTAACACCCTTTTTTTTTTTTTTTTGAACATTGGTAAAGTTGTATTCTTCAGCATTAAGGACATGCTGGCCACCTTCAAAAATGTACAGCCCTAACCAAAATTACAAGCTCCCTATTAATTCTATAATTTGATCTACATCTTCTATACAGAGCTGTTTACACCAAAAAAGTAAAGATACCAAACAATTCCATTTTACTTTGTGAATGGAATTAGATCTATCTTCAAAACATCTCCCATTTCTTTCCTTCCACACTGACCACCATATGCATGATGGTATTAGCTTCCACCACTTCTTTTGAGTCTTGCTACCCCCCCTTCTGATCCAACATTAAAAGAACAGAGGTGTGTTCTGGCATAGTCCAGCTACAATTTTGGTGACTAACCAAGTGAAGCATTTCACTTTGGTGGGGGTCAGTCCTCTCCAAATACTCTTCCAGTGATGATGGTAGCCTCTAACCCCAACTTGTATGCCTTTCTTGTAAGCACTGTTTACTGTGAATTTGCCATCCTTGTTGTGCTTCCAAATAACTCTATCTGGTGCATTTGTTACTAGATTGGTTCCCCTCAATTTTCCCAGGAAAGAAGCCACTATATCTACTTCCCAATCATTCAATAGCCTTCTGAAAGATAGGTCCAGCATTCACATACTCTGGCTTCAGGATTATTGCTGATTGAGAAAAGATCTGGGAATGGCTCACTTAGAGGAATTTGATCAATCCATCCATCTCTTCAAAACTTGATCTTGTTGCCATTTCCAACTTTGAGAAACACATTTTCTTCCATAGAGTTCCATAAAGCTCTGATTGTCCTCCATACTCCCCATCCATAGGGTTCTGACACTATCTCTGTACACCATGGGTTCAATTCCCCATACTTTGCCACTATCACCTCCTTCCATAGGGTTCCTTCCTCACTAGTATATCTCCACAACCACTTCATACAAAAGGCTCCTGTTTTGGATTCTCAAATTTCTAATACCCAGTCCCCCTCTTTCTTTGCTTAGCATCACAGTGTTCCATTTCACTAAATAGTAACCCTTGCCTTCTCTCTCTTTGCCTTTTTTCCGGAGGAAGTTTCTTCTCAGTCTGTCCAGCCTGTCCAATTTAATACCCTTTATAAAAATCTATATTTGATACCTCGTTATGGCCATCATTTCTATTTATCTTTTTTGCATTTTTTTAATCCATAATATTGTACTCTTTCTGGCCAACAATAGTTGTTCACTATTGACTTGGCACAACTTTAAGAAAGAAAAAATAATAGGGGTAATATTACTATATTATCCTCTGACTTTATTAAATTTAATGCTTTGAACTACTGCAATGAATAAACATTGTATAAATAGTGTATATGGATGTATATACTAGGGGTGTGCACTATTCGGATTAAACCGAATAACCAAACCAAATCAAACCGAATTATTATTTGGATTGATTTTTTATTTTTTCGGATTGGTTTTGGATTAATAAATTACTTTGTTTGGTTTTTTGGTTTGGTTTCGGATTTTAAAAAATAAAAACTGAAAAACCAAAAAAAACCGAATTATATATATATATATAATGTTTAGGTTTAGAATTAAATTGGAGTTAACCACTTTTGTCCCTTTTTGGTTATTGCCTTTCATGATGATTACGTTTATATTTTATGTTTGAATTACATCTATAATAGGTATACTTATAAGTATTGTGTTTTAAGTTTTACTTATGATTTATATTAGAAAGAATATAAAGGGATTAAATGTTATTACTTTGGTTATATATGTTATTAATTATTGACATAACCGAATAACCAAACCGAAAAAAGCCGAACCGAATAGAGGAAAACCAAACCAAATCAAATTTATTTTGGATCGGATTGGGTTACACTTTTACAAAATCAAAAATCAAAAATCCAAACCGAATAGTGTAAACCCAAACCGAATGCATACCCCTAGTATATACCTCTCTAATACATAATTATACATCATATATATACACAATTATACAACATTGATATATTACATGTACATATAACCATTTTATTGAGAAATTTTTTTGTTACATATACAGTTTGGTAACAAGCCCTATTTAATAGTGTATTACATATAAAACAATAACAAGCCCTATTTAATATTAGGGAAAGCATGATCAACTTTTTCTCAGTTTCAGTATGCCTTCTTCAATGTTAATAGTTTTTCCAATGATCTAGTAAAGCAACCAAGCATGAGGAGACCTTACAAAATGAAAATAAAGCTAAGCATAAGGAAGATTTGCAACTTAAAGTCCAGCTACTCATAAATCAAAGAATCATATACTAAACCAGCATTTATTTTCTAAATGCAAAAGCCAAATGTATATCAGTAATGACCTGTATATTGAGGAGGACAAGAGAAAAGATTCAAAATTGTAACCATGAGATACTGGTCATACCTTGTCAATCTCACTGAGTCTCAAACATCCATGCTGCCTTTCATCAAGTCTCAGTTAAAGATATATTTTGCCCTGCGTAACATCAATTCAGAAAATGTGTGCTCCCACAGTGGACACTGGACATATCGAACAACAGTTGAGGGAGAAAAGAATAAGTTGCTACACTGCAAAAAAAGAGCCTCCTTAATGACATGGACAAAAAATTGGATGTATGCAAAGGGTAGTACCGAAAAGTAAGGAACCAACAAGAAGATATGCAAAAAGGCCACCCAATCTTCTAAACAACAAGGAACTACATGGGTGCACCAAAAGCAGATCAGGGATAGAGAATACTACTCAACTGAGTAAACTCATCTCTACCCCTTCAAAGATCTCCTATTTCTTCCTCTCCAAACAACTCACATTAACGTGAATGAAGCGACATTCCATACCCTGCGTATTCTCCTCCTTTTTGGCATCTTCCAGTTGAACATCAAATCCCGCCCATAACATGGCATCCTCCAAAGCTTAAAGAAGACACTTCTTCCTACAAGGTTTAAAGTTCCTTAACGTAGAACATCCACCCCTCCCCCCACAGTTACACTGTCCAGACAGAAACGTAAGAAACCATAACTGCAGAAGGACCATTTGATCCATGTCTGCTCTGACTGAATAAAGCATTATATACTAGAGAAAGATAAGAGATAAGATGGTTTCAGTTATCTGCAAGATCAATTCTTTCACTAAGTTCTTATAATTTGCATCAAAATGGAATCAAGGAGATGATGTGTTATGTTAAAACATCTGAACACATAACTCCAAGAAAAGAAGAAAACACAGCATGAATCGAATTGCATGCAATTTCACTAGTAAAGTTCTAATAAAGACTGAGCATTTTAAGATACTACAAAACTTCCCACCTTGTAGAAGCTTTATATCCTTATTCAGGAATACAGGGCCTACAAAGTCAATAACAAAAGAACAACTAAACAGTGCTTCATCCTTTCAATTCACATTCCTAAACAAAAGTAAACTAAAGGACGAACGAGCTGCAAATTAGGACAGTAGAAATAGCTTATCATCAGAGGGTGAGAGCTATCAGGATGAGTTCACATTGATGTATCATAGGCTTCTCACATCAGCTTCATAAATCTTAACAGAAGGGTTCACAGGGATCTAATCCCCACCCATCCCAAACCATGATGATTGCTAATTGTCAATGTACAATTTTTTTAATCTGAGATTTGTTAAATGACTTATTTTAAGAAGGTAAATCAATTGTATAGATGAACTAGCTCCAAGGATGTGCTTTAAGCCTATAACACCTGTACAATATTTTCATGAGCAAGAAGTGGTAACTGATTCCTTTCTTTAAATAATTAGCTGGTTAAATTATTTACATGAGAATGTATCTTGATAAGCGAAAGAATATATCATATTAATCATTAAACATGAGATATTTGATTTTCCTTCAACTTAGATATTGCTTCTGAAGCTATATGATTCTGCAATATCAGGAATGATCATAGTGGGAGGATAAGCAAATACCAAAGAAACTGTTGTTTTGCATTGACTTTAAATCTGAAACAAATCCCATGGAAATAAATAATTTTGTGTTTAATGACATATGGAAAGTTCAGGATTATGCAAATGACATCTGAGAGAATTCCTTCGATAGAGGCAACTTCAGTAGGAGTAAAGCCATATTAAGGTACACCAATACAAAAGGTAGAAGTTAAGACAAGGAAGATCTTCATTTTGATACATTGGACTGTTATAAATGTTGTCAAACTACAAAAAAAACGTTGATCGTAATGGAAGAAAAAGGCAGAAAGCAGCAAAAGAATTCAACTAATATTGAAAGATATTACCATTTATACCCAATTCACGAATGTTACAAAGTACACTACAAAGAGACAGTGCGTCTATATAGTGTTTCATCTTCACTGTCATCTTCCTCTTCTGATACAATCTCATTGCCTGGTAGCTCTAACTTCCCACCCATACAAAATGACGGACCAGAACTTTCAGGCTCTATATAATCACCATACAATCTCTCTTCAAATCTTTGGTCACTACAATTGAGAAACCAACCCAAAGAACATCTGATTTCCTTGTTCTGCAACCTCTGGTACCTGGGTTTGATTCTTGATTCCAAGCTATACGTGAAGTAGTCTGGAAAGTCCAAAAGCTCTTCCATTGGTCGGCCCATATCACTCTTGAAAAAGTAATAACTATTTTTCATGAGGCCAACTTGCAAAGCAACTAACTGAGGACATTTTACAATCATCTTTGCCACATCAGCCGTTGAAAATCCCCGTCCAACAAGGAACTCGACTGGTTTCATTATCACATGTTGGTGTAGACTGACAATTTGTGGCATCTTCTCAATGACTCGAGCAAAACCATCAGGATCAATCTTAAGCTTTAAGTTAAAGAAATATTGTTGCGACGACAGCTTAGCTTTCAAAGGTAAACCTAGAATTTGTGGAAATTGTGCAATAACAGAAGGCAAAGTGTCCTTCCTAAGTCCAAAACTGAGTAAGCAATTTACATTTGGTTTCACCGTCTCTTCAAGATCATAACCAAGTAAATATGCTCGCTTCTCCAACATTCTCGCCAACATTTTCTTCGGCAAACCCAATGAAACCAAATAATCCACAAGTGGTTTAATCATTGTCCCAACTCTCATCCCAAGAAAATATGGATATTGTGTTACCATCGGCCCTACATCCCTCGGATTAACTCCTATACTAACCAAGTAAGCAACTGAAGTACTCATTGTTCCCTCAAGTTTAAACCCTAACAACTCAGGATATTTCATCAAAACATACCCAATATCTTGTTTCTCAACATCAAGACCTCGTAAAAATTTAATAACCGGAACAAGCTCGACGACGACACTAGTATGTAAACATTGAGGATAAATCTTAATAAATTCACCAAGCTTAGACCTTTGAAGCCCAATTTTCTCCAAGTATGTTAAAACAGGAATTATGTTTTTCCTCACACTACAACCAAGCATTAAAGGATATTCATTCATATCATCAACTGTGAGACCAATTTTCTGCAAAAACTCAACACGCTCCCGCATAACTTCAACAGCGGAGGGTAATTCCAACTCCTCTAATTCATGAGGGATTATTCCTATAGTTTTCAAATAATCAGAGATTATTACACGTGACACCAACTTCTCCTTACGCCCTTGGACTACACCCCATGTTACTGTTGGCATTTCATATTCTGGGAATTTAGAAGAATGGGTCGAAAAGGGTTTTTGGTTCAATACCCTGTATGGGATTTTGTAAATTGGGTTAAAAAATGGATCTTTTGGGTTTCTGAAGATTGTTTTTAAGGATTGATTTCTTCTTATTATTGATGTCATTTCAGTGAACAAACAACAAAGATCATTCAAGAATAAGAAAATATAAGCTTTTAACGCCTTACCTGCAGAACGAATCTACTGTCCATTGAAAAAAATTGCGGCTTTTGAGTAGGGAAGATTGAGGAAGAAGAAGATTCATGGGCTGGGCTGGGCTGGATGAGAAAAAAATTGGGGCTTTTGTTTTATTTTCTTATAATATAGGAAAAGTTACAAAAATTCCACCTTTTAGTTTACTTATTACCATTATTTCCTATAAATTTTACAAATCTCTAAAATTCCCCATTTTCGCACATTAGATTAGTGTATCTCGCGCATCAAATTAATGTATCAGCACTTATATTATTGTATCTCGCGCATCAGATTAGTGTATCATGTATAAAATATAATGTATCTTACTTAACGATTAATGTATCTTGCGTATCAGATTAAAGTATCAACGCTTATATTATTGTATCCGTTTGAGGGATTTCTGTAATTATAAACTTTTAAGGGATAAATTGTAATTTTCCTTAAAAGTATTGATTTCTATAATTTGCCCTTATATATATGTTGAAACTTGATAAAATTATTTTTATTATTAAGAAGAAGTTAAAAATATATATATTTGAAAAAGGTACGGGTAGGAGAAAAAAGTATAAAAGAGGTAAATGTAATTTAGATTGATTTATAATAAATATACAAAGAAAATCATGTTTGTTAGAAATATATATAAAAAGTATACATTTTTTCTCAAATTGTTATTTTTTGTTTACTGTATTTAAAAGTATACAAAACTCAAAGTCTAAAACTCTTAAGTGATGAAAATTTATATACGAACCTAAATTAAATGTGAATAATTAAAACTTGAAATATTTGAATTTGAAAATTAAATGTATTCTCTCCATAAGTTATTTAGGTTGAGAATTTTATTTTTCGATGACAATTATAACCATTTGAAATTACTAAAATCATTAATGTTTTATGGAAATATAGGACCTTCTTCGGATGAATTTTAATTACTCATTTTGTCTACTTTTAATTGTCATGTTCTGCTTTTTAAAAGTTAATTTGACTAATTTTCAAAGTTAAATTAGATTACATTAATTCGATAGTTTAAATAAAAAATTTAGATATTCAAAAACGATACGAAAAGTACTATATATTGCAATTTTTTGCATATCAATATGATAAAAAAATACATCGTAAAATGTTAGTCAAAGTTCTTATAGCTTGACTCTAAAAAAGAAAACCAATGACAATTAAAAGTGGTCGGAGAGAATAATCGTCAATTATGAGATTTTGTATATGATTATTATGGGTTATCAAAATAAAGTTATTTACTATTTTGTGTATGGATTTTGATTAAAAAATCATGAATACTTTATATATTTCATTTAGTTTTTTGATTTATTTTAAATAATAATAATGAATTTCTTTCATAAATGACATTGTGTTTAAATTGATGTTAAATAGGAGCGAGCATAATACTTTATTAAAAACTTTGGTTTGATAATTTTAATTTGTAACTTTTTAAATATTTTGCCATTATATTTCTCTGGTGTTAACTTAGTGTTAATTTATTTTTTTTCTATAATTATTTTGTTTAGCAGGGAAAACTAGTCTCGACTCTAAGTAAAATTATATTCGCGCGGATAAATTCATTAGTAATACCTTAAACTAAAAATTAAGTATTGTATGTGTTTAGGTTCTATTTTTATATTTATTTTTTCGATTTCCAATAAACAAAAAAAATATTACGTGTCTTCTAAAAAGTTTTTTACCGCTAAAAAGTAGTTATATCCTATCCATTTTTATCACTATCTCTCTCACACACCCCCATAAAATTCACATGGTTCCTCTCTTTCTCACTTATCCTCTATACGGTGTACCTAAACACTGTGATATTATACACGTGTACTTTATCAATAAAAGCATGATACATTTTTTATATTGTTTCAATTGTTGAGACTTTACAACTTACCTTCTTAAGGTACAAAACTTACAAAATTGAATTATTTACAAGTAATAAATACCCTATCGATCTTTATCACGTGTTAAAAATGTCTTCAAGACTTATTTACTTGAAAGGATACAAGACACAATAATCCTAGTATATAATTTGTCACTCACCCACTTGCAAACGAATAATCTTAAGACACTTGAATGACAATCTATTTTGTCTACTTTGCTTAAAGATTTTCACAAATCATTTCTTATATTTAATATTACAAGTTACATAAACCATAATGATCAATACCTTTTCTCTCTCCCGTTTCTACACTATACCCTAACTGTTATATATTGAGTGATATCTGTTATAATGTTAATCTATAACTCATGTCTAGCAAATAGTTAATTTTTTCATAAATAATTCGTCAAGGCAATGTGATGACCAATAATCCTCTTATAAGTTTTTATGTTTGATGAGTCTTGAAAAGGTTTTATCAAACCAATTAACCAATATTGATTTCTTCTATTAAGATTAGTTAATATCTTAAACTCTTGTTGAGTATTATCTGATCTTTTGTTCTAAAGAAGAATATTATTCATCATTAGTGATTAGCCTTTATGACTACAACAAGTCTCTATGTCGGATAAAATTGAAGTGTGCACTTTAGAGATCTCATCTGATAATATTCTATCACGATCCAAACTATCTCCCAGACGTAACATGGTGAATAGGATCTCGAGAGACTCTAAACAAACCAGTTGATATAAGTATGAGACTATGATAAACAACAAAACAATATGAAATGAATAATAAAGCTAAAAGATTATAGTAAAACCTTTTTTTTTCCAACTCCAAGCGTAGCATAATAGAGAAAGGGGCATCAGATGTTTCTCATTGTGACCTGAAATTTGTTACTCATTTCAGGGTTGGTTAATTTGCCATAAGTAATTTTTCTAGGTGTTGCAACAAAAATGCAATCAGACAGTACAATTTTTCGACGAAGGAGGTTCACTACAGGTCTCCCCCTCTAGTGATCTTCTCCGATTAGAAGGAAAAAACTGATCCTGTTCCAACTAACTTTTGAAATCTTAGGGATCATTTATCACAAACTCAGCCTACCATAGAACCCTTGCAAATAAAGCAGTATAAAATGGACATCTCTACATAAACAACTGAATATACGTTAGGCACCACAGAGATGAGAAACTAAAACAAGACCTCAATCATGATTAGTCCAAAGAATCCCTAAATGGATGCAACTAAAACCCCAGTTAAGAGCATTTACAAAAATTAAGATGTTGGGTGTACAGACAACCCACTGAAAATCTATTCACAGGATGGGGTATGCAGCTAACAAATGATACTCTTGTATTCCTAGTACCATGAGAGCAAAGAATGCTTCATAAGACTCCCATAGGTCATCAAATCTACAAATGCAGATCATGCGTCACACTACTTCTAAATGCTACTTCCTCATCATCCAAGGGTGTAAGCCGCCTCCTTTTCACATTGTGTTCAGGATCTGCTTCTGAGCCAGAACCATTACCAATGAGCAACAAGCTTTTACATGCAAGGTTGACATTTCCATGGATATCATATGGGTTCTCCTGACCGGAGGTGACAGGACCAGTACCACTGTTATCACGAGTCTCAATCGAGGATTGTGCCAAAGTGATGTCCAGCAACTCGCCAGCAGTATCATCTCCATCAACCAAACAGTCAATACTTGACTTTGGACGATCTATTTTCTCATCTGAACTCATATTTTGATCTACTTTGCACAGTTCTACAACCTCAACTTCTAATTGTTTCTCCGTGTCACGGACTGAAGTAGTTGGTGATGAGTCCAATTCCTCATCCACATCTTGGACAACTGACACATCTGGGATCCAGGAAGTTCCCGCAGCAAGAGACCCAGATGAATATGAAAATGCACAGGGTTCAGATCCATTCCCACCCAGATGCAAAAGGTCTGTGTCAGTTGCTGTGTACGCAAGATGATCTCCAGCTTCCATCTCTTCCTGTTTAAGGTCATCAACAACTCAGTGACTTCTAGCAGAGTTTAAACACAAGAAAACCTAATCAATTTACGGCAAATAAATGCATATAAACAGAATCAAAACCCTTGGCAAAGTGAACTGGTACAACCAAAATCAGTTGATTCGAGATCCAACTAAGACAACTGGCTAACATCCATGCATGATTAAGAGTTTAAAACAAGCAGGAGAGGTCAACAAGAAGCAACGTAGATTACACCCTCCAAAAGTGGAATTAGTTACAGCATCATAAATCTGATTTCTCTGACTAATATCTTTGCAAAAATTCTACACACTTGCTTCAAATATAAATATCACCCAGCACTTGTTCAAAACTATCACCCCTGCCTCTCTTACCCTATTATTTTTAATTAAAAATAAAACAAACAATTCCTAAACTACATTAATATTCTTCCTACTATGACACATAACATAAGAAAAGTAGACAGGTTGGACTGTTTAAAAAATGATTTGTTGTTTCCTCCCTACTCCCTCCCCTCCCTGAGTACACAAATACTCAATAAATGGATACAAGTGCCTCTAGAAAGCATTTTACAAAACATTAGTACATAAAAAGTGTCAAAACTTCCCAATTGGCCAAAAGGAAATTAAATCTAAATGGAGTGTCCAGCAAACTTTATGTTATCACATTAATTTTCAATATACTGCTCCTAGAAGACAGCATCCTTTTCTCCTTTGGAACCAAAAGGAAAGGGAAAAGTAAATGGAAATAGGATGATAGTTATCTTCGTGATCTGAACTACAATATTACCAAAAGTTCTTATCTTCATGTTTATGTGTACCAATTTGAGAACTATTGAACCTAGTTGCAGATACATACAACATACCAGTATTTCTTGAGAATAAATAACAACATACCTGTATTGGCGGTAATGAACTCCTGAATTCGTTAAAAGATGCTGCGTGACCAAAACCCATGTCAAGCAAAGGTTCTTCATCAGATTCAGACTCAAAAGAATCATTTAAACCAAAGCCTGAATCATTAGCACAAACACCCCTGAGAGAGGAAGTAGGAAATGGGTTTATCTCAATAGCTTGAGAACGCGGTAAATTGTCTGAACTCTTTGATGAACCAAGTTGATCAGATACTAATTCTAAAGTATTTTCATCATCATTGCTTGTCTTGAGACCACCTTCAGGATAGCAACTATTACTCACACAAG